TGTTCTCCTAATCTCTAATGTTAAAGGTAATATTAGCCGTTTCCTTATAAGGAAACATTCCGCATTCATTGACCGAGCTATCAGTACTACTACTGGTTGAAATTTATGAAAATATTTCTCTTAAAACAATTTTTCCGGAAAATAGGTTTCTTAAATCCAGTAGATGTTATCGCTCATTCCAGTATTGATGCGGGGTTTCCGTCATAACGTTTTATTTGAAGTAATGTTAACATCTTGATCAGGGTTCACCAAACAGGGCTGTCGATTACAAGCCTGCTGCAGCAATTATGTTTTAACATGCATTGCCGTGTTTAAACCGGTTTGAAGAGTGCCGTATATATATATATATATATATATATATATATATATATATATATATATATATATATATATATATATATATATATATATATACACAGTGTAACCTGATATAAGAGGGTTTGGTCTATTTTATATACATTAACACAGGCTCTAATTTGGGACCGGAGAAAATCTCTCTTATATCCGGGTTTCTCTTATATCCGGGTCTCTTATATCCGGTTACACTGTGTATATATATATATATATATATATATATATATATATATATATATAATAAAGGGCTGACTTCAGAGAATTATGTCATATATTTTGCCTGAACTTATAAAATCTAAAGTATGTAAAGTCAGCACATGTAACGAAGTTGACTGATGAACATTTGAAAGCATTTCTCTTGGTTTGGATGCAGCAATACCAAAACAAATATTATATCTTAAAAGGTAAACGCCAATTTTACAAATCTTACTAACCTTTTGTGCTGCTTAGTTTGTGAGATTCGGATATGTACACATTGGGTGTGATATAACTATTTTATTGCTAATGTCGCCTTCTTAGGTAACTTTTTAGTAAATAAGTATGCCTGTTGTTTTTATTTGTTTTACATTCAGTTTAATGTAGAGAATAAAATTGTTATCCGTCACGCGTTTGTCACTCTCTCAGTTATCTGGTCCTCTGTGAAAAAAAGTTTCGTGACCTCTGCTATAAGCAATCCTAAGACCATATTAAGGCATTTAACAGCTAGTCAGCTTGCAGGGTTGATGTTTCTGTTTAGACTGATTCATATATAAATTCATATATAAATTTAAATGTGCTGTAGTTACTACCCATATTTACTGCTAGCTGTGTGGACGTCCGCATTTACAAAAATCAGCCCGTTTATACACACATTTAAAAAATCAGTTACGTAGAAGCATCCTTTTTGCTTCCATTTTCTCTAAAACTTCGACGATGCTCGAGTTGTTTTTAAAATATTGGGGGTCGCTGAATTGTAGTAATATTTTCCATTCGAGTAAATTATTAAATATAATTTTACTTAAAAACAATGTATCCTAACAGGTACAAATTAAATACAAAATAAAATAAAACCGTAAATATTTAGAGTAAGGCATCAAACAATACTTTAGAAACAAAAATAAAAGTGATAAAGAACGTTAAATCACTTTTTAGTAAATAAGTATTTGTTGTCTTTATTTTTTGTGCATTCAGTGTATTGCATTAAACAAAATCTGGTCCATCCTTGTCAATCTCTCAGTTATCTCGCCACCTATGAAAAAAGTTTGCTGACCCCTGATCTTAATGATACCATTATTTTCTCTTCAAATTACATTGACTACCCATTTTAGCTGTTGAAAGTCTTCAAGTGATGTGGTTTCTGTTATCGGTTGTGGTTAATTTCATGTGATTCTGCAGCGCCAGTTCACAAACAAGAGCCTAGAAAACAGAAATATGAACGTATGAACTCGAATGATGCTCTTAAATGGCGTCGTCAGCTCTACTTTCATATGGATGGCATGCTTGGCGTTCAAACCATTCAGAAATGACTCAACTGTTAGCTATAAGCAACCGTCTTCTAGGATCGGCGATTAAAAATACCACAAACCGATTGAATCCTGTACGTTTGAAAAGAAGACAGACCTTCATCCGATCTTACAGACAGACACTGCAGAAGCACAAAGAGATTTAAAAAAAAATATCACTTGAAGTTTTCAAACGGTAGCAAAAACTAAAATGGATAGCATATTGTTATGGTCCGGTTCCTTGTACCACGGTGATAGTCCAAGGTAGAACCAATAAAGAAGAACTCGAACACAGGTATGAAATAACACAGATATATTACAAACAGGAATATATACAGAAGAAGTAGAAGAGTTACTATGAATAATCAGGTTTAGTAGAGAGAACAATGTAGTCTCGACCAGTATCACTATTCCAATGTCTTACAGTAATTGTTTGAACGCAACTCTGTTTCGGACTGCCTCTGACTCGACTCTTGACTCGACTTGAACTACTGACTCACTGATTAACTGACGATATTCAGTCACTCCCCCCACTGGGGCGTCATGTGGCACAAGGCCGGTTTAACGTGGGATCTCCGAGCCCGTGGGCTCGGCCAAAAATATGCCCATTGAATCCGTATAAACGGGTTCAGGGCCGGTTTACCTCCCCGAAAGAGACTCCGCCCTTCGGCGTAGCCTCGTTCGGGTTCCTCCCCACCCGAAGGTAGAGAGTTCAACCGGTCAGCCGGTCATCCGACATCGACTGTCGAGCTACTGACTGACGATATTCAGTCACTCCCCCCACTGAGGCGTCATGTGGCATAAGGCCGTTTTTAACGTGGGATCTCCGAGCCCGTGGGCTCGGCCCCAAAATATGCCCATTGAACCCGTACAAACGGGTTTAGGGCCGGTTTATCTCCCCGAAAGAGACTCCGCCCTTCGGCGTAGCCTACTTCGGATTCCTCCTCGCCCGAAGGTAGAGAGTTCAACCGACATCGATTGTCGAACTACTGACTTACGATATTGAGTCACCCCCGCCACGAGGGTGTCATGTGGCACAAGGCCTTTTTAACGTGGGCATTCCCGAGCCATTAGGCTCGGCCAAATAAATTTGAACCCCGTTTAAACCCCATTTTACCTCCCCGATTTCCGCCCTTCGGCGTACCTCCTTCGGTTTAAACGAGTTCAAAGGAACGACGGTTTACCTCCCCCACTGAAGGAGACTTTTTATTGTGGGATTCCCGTGGGCTCGGCGTAGCCCGCATCAACGGGTTCAGGGCCAGTTCCTCCGCCCTTCGGCGCCTCCTTCGGTTCCTCTCCGGAAGGGAGTTCAAACCGATCAGTCTGTTCAAAAGTGAACGACTGACTCACGATATTGAGTCACCCCCACGAGGGTGTCATGTGGCACAAGGCCTTTTTAACGTGGGAATTCCCCCATTAGGCTCGGCCAAAAATTTAGCCATTTGACCCGTATAAACCAAGGCCATTAACCTCCCCGAAGGGACTCCGCCCATCGGCGTAGCCTCCTTCAGGTTCCTCCCCCGTAGGAAGAGTTAAACCGGCAGTCTGTTCAAAAATGAACAGCTGACTCACGATTTGAACCCCCCACTGTATAAAAGGTCGGGTTCCCAGGGGCTCGGCCAAAATAGCTTTTTGAACCCGCATCCCCGAAGGAGACTCCCCGCCCCCTCGGCGTAGCCTCCTTCGGGTTCCTCTCCGTCCGGAGACAGAGAGTTAAACCGAGCAGTCTGTTCAAAAATGAACGGCTGACTCACGATATTGAGTCTCCCCCACTGGGGCACCCCCACACGAGGGTGTTCCCGTGTGGCCCGCATCAAGGTTCCTTTTTTTACGTCCCCGGGAACTCCGCCCTTCGGCGTAGCCATTCCGTCCGGAGACAGAGTTAAACCGAGCAGTCTGTTCAAAAATGAACGGCTGACTCAAAATATTGAGTCCCCCCACTGGGGCAACATGTGACACAAGGTCGGTTTTTATTGTGGGATTCCCGAGCCCGTGGGCTCGGCCGGTTTGAACCCGCATCAACGGGTTCAGGGCCGGTTTACCTCCCCCGAAGGAGACTCCGCCCATCGGCGTAGCCTCCTTCGGGTTCCTCTCCGTCCGGAGACAGAGAGTTAAACCGAGCAGTCTGTTCAAAAATGAACGGCTGACTCACGATATTGAGTCTCCCCCACTGGGGCACCATGTGACACAAGGTCGGTTTTTATTGTTTCCCGGATTTGAACCCGAGCCTCCCCGAAGGAGACTGGGCTAGCCTCCTTCATGTTCCTCTCCGTCCGGAGACAGAACCGAGCAGTCTGTTCAAAAATAAACGGGTCTCCCCAGGGGGAACCATGTGACACAAGGTCGGTTTTTTTATTGGGATTCCCGAGCCCGTGGGCTCGGCCCAAAAATATGCCCGTTTGAACCCGCATCAACGGGTTCTCCCCGAAGGAGACTCCGCCCTTCGGCGTAGCCTCCTTCGGGTTCCTCTCCGTCCGGAGACAGAGAGTTAAACCGAGCAGTCTGTTCAAAATGAACGGCTGACTCACGATATTGAGTCTCCCCACTGGGGAACCATGTGACACAAGGTCGGTTTTTATTGTGGGATTCCCGAGCCCGTGGGCTCGGCCCAAAAATATGCCCGTTTGAACCCGCATCAACGGGTTCAGGGCCGGTTTTACCTCCCCGAAGGAGACTCCGCCCATCGGCGTAGCCTCCTTCGGGTTCCTCTGTCCGGAGACAGAGAGTTAAACCGAGCAGTCTGTTCAAAATGAACGGCTGACTCACGATATTGAGTCTCCCCCACTGGGGAACCATGTGACACAAGGTCGGTTTTTTATTGTGGGATTCCCGAGCCCGTGGGCTCGGCCCAAAAATATGCCCGTTTGAACCGCATCAACGGGTTCAGGGCCGGTTTACCTCCCGAAGGAGACTCCGCCCTTCGGCGTAGCCTCCTTCAGGTTCCTCTGTCCGGAGACAGAGAGTTGAACCAATCAGTCTGTTCAAAATGAACGGCTGACTCACTTCTTGCCTACTCCTGAGGCGTAGTATTTATTAAGTATGGAATAGTCCATTATTATTATTATTATGGGTAATATCCCATAACACATATGTAATTAGAAGGGAAAATACTAACATGTTGTACTTCCATACGGTATTAAACAAAAGAAGAAAACTTCTGCCAACTTACGGCCACATCAGGTTGAACCACCAATTGCCGTACTATCACCAAAGTTAAGCAACGTTGAGCCTGTTCCGTACTTAGATGGGTGACCGCTTGGGAATACCAGGTACTGTAAGCTTTGATGTGAGGGTGGTGTAATGAATGATGGCTTCGGATTGCTAATCGGAGAGCCAAGTTCCAATTCCCGTTGGGTTCGTTTATATTCAGTTACGAATATTCACTCACTTGGGAAAGGCACGAATCCATCTCTTCTCTCCATATACTATGGATTAATTAGTAGGATTTGCGGGATTTGCAGGTCGTGTAATGGCTAATGCATCAGAATTATTAATCAGAGAGCCGAGTTTGTTATATTCACTTATGCACAAATACCCTTGGGAAAGGTATAAATCTGCCTCTTCTCCCTCCAGATATGGGTTAATTATTAAGACGTGTATCAGTAAACAATTATTATCTCCCCACCGCCCGCAGAAAATTCTTACAATCTTAAGAAAAAAAATGAAATATATTTTCTGGCTTTAAATAACGTGCAAACGGTTGATAAGCCTAGAAAACAAATCAATCAATCATACTACCAATATTAGAAAGAGCATTAAGAGTAGATTTCAGAAGCTTATTTTCCTGAAAAAATGTTTTAAGAGAAAGATTTTATGAATTTTAACTACCGTAATTACCCATGTATAATACGCATTTTTTTCTAAAAAAATAATAAGCAAAATTAGGGGTGCGTGTTATGCACAGCTACAAAAAATTCTTTAATAAAATTGCCATTTCAATTGCGAAATGACTAAAACCACAAACACACGACAATTTGACCCTAACATTCGGCGATTGTGACCCCATAAGTATGTCAAATACAATCATATTTACCTAACAATACTTCAGTTATGTGCCATGCGTGATATATGCTTAAGTGATCATGTATCTTTCGCTACATGACTGACGAAGCAGATTTTTTTCCCGCGGTAGGTTGCCATTTCTTTCTGCGGTAGACCAGTTGCCATCCAAGATTATAGAGCTTGCTAATTACCCATAGATAGGAGGAGGAGAAGTGGATTCATACCTTTCTCAAGGGTATTAGCACGTAAGTGAATGTAATGGATTCGACTGGAATTCGAACTCGGCTCTCCGATTTCTTAATTCCAGACGCTCCACCGTGCCTTTTTAGTAGAATATCTCTTGTTTCAAATTTCTTCTTCATCTGTGAGGAAATTGTCCGCCATTCACCGTCATATAGGAGATTAAATAATAATAGCGCCTCAGAAATCGTTCTTTTGTTTATAAAGAAGCAGACCTTAAAATTCCACGGATTTTTCTATTAAACCATATTTTTTGTACTTAATGGTTGAATAAGCTCTCTACGGTTATTTATAGTCCCGAGAACCATAAATACCCGTGCAATTTCCGCTATTGCATCCTTAGATATTTAAGCTTAAAATCTTTTAAGAAAATATTGCATTAAAGTCATTATTTAAAGAAGTAAGAGTATACAAATAAAAAGATTACTCACGGTCTTTAATTTCACAGAAGCAGACGTTAAAATCATGAGAGCGTTATCGTCTCGTCTATTTTTCCCGTCTTTCTGCATTTCTTTCTTCTTATTACTGCAGATCAAACTTTCGAAACCCTTTCACATGAAGCGTTAAGATTCTAGTTTGGATTCCGTGAGTCGGCCATAAGTATGAAACAATATTGTTATATATCTTTCTATGAGAAAATGATATATGAAACAACGATATACAAAGCAATACACTAAGGGCAATAGTTGCACAGCATAATTAGCTTGACCATAATTTCGATTTTAAAAATGATACTCTAATTAAAAGAGAAAGCAATTTACTAAGAGGAAAATATATAGAAAGTGCTTTAATCGCTAGATCATTCACAGTCAATTTGCGACCAGGTTTTTACAACATTTCACCTTTCTTGTTACATCTTCTATTATCATAATGTGGGATATTTAATAAGAAACGTGATAAAAACATAAACAGGGCTCTTGAAATATTTTAATTATTTCATATTCAACGCAAAACAAAAGGCTCGTGTGTATCATTTTGACCAACCCAACGAATCAAAATATATTGTTCTGCCCACCAACTCTCTCCTAACTACAAATGAAAAGAATTTATCTAAGCTTTATTTAAAATTTGTTACAACTATTTCTAAAACAATAAAATACTTATTACAAAACAAAATATTAATAAGCTCAAACTTGAAGGCGGAATTTACTCTATCACCTGTAACAATTGCCACAAGTAATACATAAGAGAAACCTCAAGTAATTTAAATAAAAATTTATATGAACACAAAAGGGAGGTTTTGACAATAAAACAGACCCAAAGTATTATTCGCTTACCGTAAAGAATCTGACCATAATTTCGAATTTAAAAAAATGCTACTCTCTGGGTATTAAAAGAGAAAACAATTTACTGAAACGAAAATGTATAGTAAGTGCTTTAATCGCTAGATTAACCATAGTAAATTTACGTCCAACGTTTCACAATTCTTGGCAGATTTATTATGACAATGTCGGATATGTAATGACTAAAGTGATAAAATCATAAACAAAAATAAATTAAAGGAAATCGATTAGGTTATATGCCTAGGTGCATATTAAAAAAAATAGATTAAAAATTTCTATATCCCCACTCCTTCATGCGGATGTGTAGTCACATTAACGGAAACATCACTTTAGTTCTGATGAAGTCCTAAAGAAAGAAACGCGTTACATGAATTTTTTTTTCCACTTTGTCATAAATTTTCCAAATATCTATCTACATATGTGTGTGTCCGTGTGTTTTTGTTTGTAAAGAGAGATTTTGTTTACTGCGATTAAAAGATCCCTTTAACAAAGTTGCCCTTAACGTTTTTGTTATCAAAGATTTCATGCTTAATAGAAGGTAGATGAGTAGGAACCAGTTGAAGAACCTGACCCGGGTATTTGTCGGCCTGGGTACCCAGTGCTTAGAGTATGGGACTGAAACCCGAGAGTTCTGAAGTCCCTCGTTTAATGCTGCGACGGTGACACGTGTTCCAAATTACAAGGTCTGCCGAGAGTGCATTGAAAAAAAAAAGAGGAGATTTACTCTTTTTCCCCGATTCGTACTTGCTAAAATCTTATTTGTATGAAAGCCAAAGCTTCAAATCAGTCTCAGTGGAGGTTCTCTCAATGGCTAGATCATCGGAACGGCAACAGAGAGAGCTGAAGTTTCATATGAATTACTGTCATGATTATCGGAATCTAGACGTAAAAGTTGGATACTTAATTGGGGAGAGAGAGAGAGCAAGACAGTGAGGAAGAGAGCAAAGACAGGAGAAACAAAGAAAGAAAGACGCTTATAGCCTTGGAAAAGAAACAGAAGACTGGAATTGGAATTTCAGTCTGAAAATAATTATTTTATCGTCTACTGACGCCACACTTGCAAAACGACTGGCTATGACTTTACGTATATATTTTTTTCTCTTTTAATGATCAAACAAGCAAAGATTCGGTGGGTAAAAGTCTGCACAACTTTCCGTAAATATGCGTCCGGTATTGTGTCAAAGGAGATATATTCTAGGTTAACAACATATATATATATATATATATATATATATATATATATATATATATATAAAAATAAAAAATAATGAAATGTGTCAACCACAGTCATCCTTACTATGACCTGATAATTTGTGGTTTACATATGAAACTATTAGCGGAAAAAAAAACATTTGGTAGCGAACGTAAAGTTAATCTTTTTTTTATATGTTTTACCCAGTAATTTGACCTTTTCCATTTCCCATTGAGCACTGTGCGTTTTAAGATGCACATTTCACAGTTTCATTTAATTTGATATATATATATATATATATATATATATATATATATATATATATATATATATATATATAGTGTAACAGCAAAATTGTCCAATTGTTAGATTAAGCTCTGGACCGTTGTATCTTAGAAATGATTAAAGATATCTTACTAGAATCTTCCGAGGTTTTTCTAACACTACTGGACTCTAGTTTGAGCAATAAGAATCTATAATTACTCTCCAGGCTTAACAGAAGAATTGTGATGAAATCGATCATAAACTAAACGAAAGTCACATGTTCATCATTAATTAAGCAGAGCTAAGAATCGGAAGCAAATGAAGATTTGAAATAAAGTTCAAATATTTTTATATATCATTCCAGGATCATTTTCCAACTTATTCAAGAGGATCTTCACCCTCTCTAACCTTCTAACTTTCTGTCTTGGAGTAACACGGTGACTGACAAGTTGCACGTACGATTTTCGTACATTTTCAAGTTTTTCTTCACTGCTCTTTGGACTGTCATAGGTGAAACTATTCTCTCATATGCCAAACGTCTTATGGACTGAATTGGATCTTTTCTAATTGATCTCTACAGATTCTGCTTGCTGCTGTAACCTCTTGATCCAGTTTTCCTTTCCATTGTTCCTTCTTTTTTAAACTTATTCACAGTTTTCATGATGCTTCTTGAATGGATTTGAAGCTGGAAGCCAGAGCATGAATGTTGCTACCATTATTGAACGCCTGGATGGCATTTTCCTCTCACCATTGCTCAGTTGGAAAGTCATTGTGGGGCTGACACAAAACGATTTTAATCTGTTATCTTTCTAGCTGAATATATATTTTATATATTAAAGATTTTGTGGGGAGGACTATTATGGTGTTATACGATTTGGATAATTTTGCTGTTACACCCAGTATATATATATATATATATATATATATATATATATATATATATATATATATATATATATATATATTCTCAGATGGAGTATATCTGCAGAAGAGACAAAATGAATGAAAAGAGGAAAACTATACTTCGTTTAGTCGAAACGTTTCGTCATCTAACGGACGTTATCAAGGCAAATGTGATGGTTTTATTTTTCAACCACTATATATTTGACAGTTACCCAAAATTTTCAAATTTAAGAACATTCATAAATATTCAGCAAGTTAACTGAAAAGATATATTTTCATGAGAAAACGATATATAAAACAACGATATATAAAGTAACTATATATAGAACAACGATATATAAAATAATATATTATTCCTTTATTATAATTTTATCAAATAGACAAAACCATTTTAC